TGCAAGAGAAAATAATTTAAAAAACAAAGAATTGAAATTAATCACTCAGCCACAATGCACTATCATTTCCAGCACCAAATTAGGTTTTCTCTTACAACTTCTTAATTACTCAACCACTAAATAATGCTGATAGTAAGTTTTCTAAATTGTGATTCTGGCAATTTTTGATATTGTAGAAAATTATGAACAGATACAGCTAACAGGACCACAGCAGGGGCTAAGTTATCTTACAATCTATAGGGAGAGAATTATGTGTACTTAAATTTACATATTTGCACTTTCCTTTTTACAGGATATACTAGTATACTCCATACAAGTTGTGTATAAATAAATTCCCAGAAGTGCACATAGATGTTAAAGAAATATAGCAAACCTTTGAAAGCAAGGGATCTGGAAGACCAATTTTATACCAAATTCCAATAACAGCAATTTCTCCTTTAGAGTTTTGATGGACTGCATGCAGTTCCAAGTCAAACCTGAATAACAAATACAAGACATATATATTTATATGGAGAATCGTGTCAAGCCAAGGCTAAAAGAGTTTCCCTAACACTGCATCAAGCAGTTAAATAAGCTCTAAATGCAAAATGGTAAACTCACTTTGATCCATTCAACGTGTGCTCTGAAGGTGAATGCCAGTGACATTGAAGCAATTTGTAGTAAGTTCCATTTATGTTAAGCTGGCCTGCATACCCTGTCCAGTGAAGCTGTAAAAATATTAAGCACATATGTTAGGTTCATTATGCAAAATAATATACCTCAGCTCTCAGGGAAGCACTGATCCATTGATAATGAGTACTGCAATGCGACCAGGAAAATTTTATCCCAGTTTATGAGTTCAATGTGAATAAGTAAGATTGGCATATTGATGTTGCAATAAGATGCAACAACTTAAGAAGTTCATGAACCAATTATATGTGTCAGTATAGATTCACGTTGGATCATCTAAAATCACACTTTTGGTCTTTTGTCTAGATATTAATTCTTAATCCTAAATCAATTTTAAATTAAAATTAGGGTGACAAAATAGGTTAGTTTGACCCATTTTTGTCTGTCCTACCAAAGTTGAGTCAGGATGGACTAACTCCTTCACTAAAAGTGAACTGAAAATCTTGGTTTGCCTTATTTAGAAATGGGTTAACAATTTTTTTTTTATTTTGTCATTAATTTAAGTTAACAAATTTAAGTTTTTTCTATAATAATTGACAAATTTAATTAAACAATACATAAATTTGTCCTTCAACTTCAAGATTACAAAACAAAAAATAATCAATTACAAATTATTAAAAATCTTTTTTAATCAAAATTACTATTAATAGTCTCTCAACAAAACAAAAATATAATAGTCTTAATGAACTAGTATTAGTAGTTTTCAATAATAAGACTATGTTATAGTACAAAGTGACATGACCATAAGTTATAAAATAAATAAATAATATTTAATAAAATAAATTGACAAATGAACTCATCCTAACTTTCGTTTAGTCTAATGGACTAATAGACTATACAGAATGGATCAGACATATTAACAAATTAATTTTTGAAGGGTTGACAAGTCCCATTTTATCATTTCTAAATTTTACCATAGATTAATTTTTAAAACTATTTTGCTTTTGGAATAAAATCATTCAAACATAAATCATGTCACTTCAAATCAATTTTAACCAAACTCAATTTTTCGAAATCAGTTTTGCATCAGCCAAAAGGGACGAAAGTGGAGATGGTTTAGTGGCTCACCATAATGTCATGACCCCTATTCTTTAGGACAGCAGGAGCTGGTTTGTAATCTTTGGCAAGTTTACCCAATTGGGGAAACTCCTGCACCCTTTTGTCTAGAAGATCAATTGGAGATTGTAGTTTTCCTTCCCCACATATTTTCCATTTTGGGTTGATACGCCACCAATTTTCTGGCCCTTTGCTACTTCCTTTAGCATAGGTATATTCTTCATCTTCTGTTCACAAACCCAAATAAGGTCAAATTCAATGAAGATAATGTATCATTAATGATTCCAATTGTTCTTCTATAACCATGACTTTTGGAATTGGACCACGAGATATTACAATTATAAATAGTTTGTCTCTTCCCCTCTTTTCACCATTTTTTTTATATAAATTTATCATCCCATTGGCGCAGAATATATCGATCCACAAACATAAAAAAAAAAAACATTAGAGACCAAGCATGATCACTCAATAACGAGTAAAGCAGTCAAAAATTGCATTGCAAATGTATTATCCAAATTGGGAGATCAAATAATGAAGTGTGAGAAAAAACATGTCATATTGAGAGAGACAAATGATCCTTTATTTTTTCCAAAAGGCATGAAGAAATTGGCCATATAATAATAGGAGGAAACGTTGGTAACAAAAGATTTAAAAAAATGGTAAAACATCAGGGAAAAATATGATATGTAGCTTCACAAATATGCGAAGAGACTATTAATTTATGATGTGATCTCGTAGAATGAGGTATAGTCAATTCGTGACTCCTAAATGTTGAAAAGTCCAAATTGGCAGCTGAAAGCAGAAATCAATTTTGGCAGAAATCAAACTTTGAAAAGTCAAAATTGGAGGCTTGGCAGAATGCAAAATCAAATTTGGCAGGCAGACCACCGAATTCCAAATTGGAGGCACCGAATTTGGAGCGTTCACACTGCAATCGTTCCTTATAAATAGCAAGCCCCTCCATTCATTTTTTGTATCCAACGAAAGCAAATACTTAGCAAAGCGTTTGTATAGAAAAATTGAGAGAGAAGTTCTTAATTTTTCTGGGTATAGTTGGGTCGTGGGTTGTGAGTGGTTGTGAGTATTTTGAGAGATTGTGAGTGTTTTGTAAACACTGTTTATATTTCCCTTTTCAGTAAAATATCTGCAGCAGCCCGGAGACGTAGGCAGAGTTGGCCGAACTCCGTTATCAATTTTGTGTGTGCTATTAGTCCACAATTATTTTTGCTCCATTCTCAAATCTGAAGTTACGGGAAAGATCAGCGTAATTTTTCCTAACAACTGGTATCAGAGCCGGTTGTTTCTGCTAAACTCTGGCGAGGTTACTATTCATATGAATAGTATTTTACTATTCACGTGAATAGTGAATAGTGTAAATTGGTCAGCGTTACCAATTTGTTGGCAGAAGCGATCCGAGAAGTCAGATTTGAGTGGGAGCAATGGCGGCAGATGAAGGAAAGGTGAAAATTGAAAAGTTCGATGGTGCGGACTTTAGCTTTTGGAAGATGCAGATCGAAGATTATCTGTACCAGAAAAAGCTACATCAACCTCTCGAAGGAAAGAAACCAGAGGGCATGAAGGATGATGAATGGTTCCTTCTTGATAGACAAGCCCTTGGAGTTATCCGCTTGACATTATCTCGTAATGTTGCTTTCAACATTGCAAAGGAAAAGACCACAGTGGGTCTTATGACGGCTCTTTCCAGTATGTATGAAAAGCCGTCAGCCTCAAACAAAGTTCACTTGATGAGGCGGTTGTTTAACTTGCGGATGGCGGAAGGCGCATCAGTAGCGCAACACTTAAATGAACTCAGTACAGTCACAACCCAGTTGAGTTCAGTTGGAATTGAATTTGACGATGAAGTACGAGCATTGATACTTTTGTCTTCTCTACCAGAAAGTTGGAATGCTACTGTCACAGCTGTGAGTAGCTCATCGGGAAGCAATAAGTTGAAATCAGATGATGTTCGTGATCTGGTTCTCAGTGAAGAGATCCGACGGAGAGAGTCGGGTGAATCCTCAACCTCTTCAGTATTACATACAGAGTCAAGAGGGAGGGCTCCAACCAGAGGAAATGGACGTGGAAAATCAAGGGATAACAGGTCCAAATCCAGAAATCATCGTAGTTCTAACAACTCAAAAACTATCAAGTGTTGGAACTGTGGGCAGACCGGGCACTACAAAAATCAGTGCAAGAATGCACCGAAGAATCAGGAGGCGAAAGCAGAGGCAAATATTGCTTCTACCTCAGGAAGAGATGATGCATTAATATGCTCTTTGGAGAGCAAGGAGGAGTCTTGGGTGTTAGACTCTGGAGCATCTTTCCACGCTACTTCGCAGAGAGAATTCTTCGAGAATTATGTTCCCGGAAACCTTGGTAAAGTCTACCTTGGTAATGAACAATCTTGTGAGATTGTTGGAAAAGGTGTAGTGAAGATTAAGCTAAAAGGGTCTGTATGGGAATTGAAGAATGTCAGACATATTCCCGACCTAACGAAGAACTTAATCTCAGTAGGCCAGTTGGCCAGTGAAGGCTACACAACGACCTTCCATGGTGATGATTGGAAGATTTCCAAGGGTGCAATGACGATTGCTCGTGGTAAAAAGAGTGGTACTCTTTACAAAACAGCAGGAGCGTGTCATTTAATTGCAGTTGCAGCAAATGACAATCCCAATTTATGGCACCAAAGACTTGGCCATATGAGTGAGAAAGGGATGAAGATCATGCACTCTAAAGGAAAATTATCAGGTCTTCAGTCAGTGGAAATTGACATGTGTGAAGACTGTATACTTGGAAAGCAGAAAAGAGTCAGCTTTCAGACAAGTGGAAGAACCCCAAAGAAGGAGAAACTCGAGCTTGTTCACTCCGATGTGTGGGGTCCAACGACTGTCTCATCTATTAGTGGGAAGCAATACTTCGTGACTTTTATTGATGATCACTCTCGGAAAGTATGGGTATACTTTCTAAAACATAAGTCAGATGTATTTGAGGCTTTCAAGATATGGAAAGCCATGGTTGAAAATGAGACAGGATTGAAGATTAAAAAGCTCAGAACCGACAATGGTGGTGAATATGAAGACACCAGATTCAAGAAGTTCTGCTATGAGCACGGAATCAGAATGGAAAGAACCGTGCCTGGTACACCGCAACACAATGGTGTAGCTGAGCGGATGAACCGAACGTTGACTGAGAGAGCCAGAAGCTTGCGTATGCAGTCAGGCTTACCAAAACAGTTTTGGGCAGAAGCAGTCAACACAGCAGCATACTTGATCAACCGAGGTCCATCGGTACCATTGGAGTATAGAATACCAGAAGAGGTATGGAGCGGAAAGGAGGTAAAACTCACACATCTTAGAGTTTTCGGTTGCGTAGCATATGTGCATATCAGTGATCAAGGCAGAAATAAGCTTGATCCAAAATCGAAGAAGTGCACTCTCATCGGTTATGGTGAAGATGAGTTTGGCTATCGCCTATGGGATGATGAAAACAAAAAGATGATCCGCAGCAGAGATGTAATCTTCAATGAGAGAGTGATGTACAAGGACAGACATAGTACTGATGCCAGTAACTCAGAAAAGAGTAGGCCAGTGTATGCAGAGGTGGATGATGTCCCAGAAAGTCCTATAGTTGAAACTCCTCAGCCAGAGGAATCAACAGA